GCGTGCGTGCGTGCGTGCGTGCGTGCGTGCGTGCGTGCGTGCGTGCGTGCGTGCGTGTGTGTGTGTGTGTGTGTGTGTGTGTGTGGCGCGCGTTTATCATAGAAGCGTACAAAGAAAATATCATTTTATATATTTGGTTTTTGCGTATTACATCGAATGTATTGAATAAAATCAAATTAAAATTAAAGTAAAGTTAAATTTTTTTTAAATTTTATTCTTTTTTATTTTTTTGTGTATACTATATGTTGCATTAAAGCAATTCGATTCTTTTATAAATGATGCATAAAAAAACAAAAACGTAACATTGTGCGCTTAGATTTTTTCCGATTTCAATTTGAATATTATATTAGATTATACAGTTACATATATCTCTTTCTAGAAAGTGATTGCGATGTAAGTGGAACAAACGTACCTCCACGTATGTATAAAAAGGTCAGAGATCCATCTTTTCAGGTCACGATCATACATGAATTTCAAATGGGCCAATTTTCTTCGCTACCAAATAGCACGTCGACCCCCGCTTCCCTTTTCTCCTCCCCCTCCCTCTCCTTGCCCCTTCTTCCTTCAGGCCTTCCGTTATAAAATTACTTTGAGAAAGAGAAAGAAAATGATATATAAAAAAATTATCGTTATACTATAACAAAACGAATCCCTAAGATATTAAGAGATTGAACTCAATTTATCGGATATAATACATATATATTATATTATGTATCACATTATAGCGTGCTGAAATATCGAATAAATAAAATGGCTTGATGCGATATGCCACTAGGTGAGAAGTTTTTCGCAATTGAGGAACGAATTCGCGGATGTGGATACATTTTACTTGGGTACTGGATCAGCTCTCGTTATGGCTGGTGGCATCACAGCATCCCCAGTACGAAGATCGAGATCACGTGGACCACCCGCCGTCGTGGAAGAAGTTAGCCGTCAGAGAAGGGCTCGCAGCAAAAGCAGGCCTCGAGCCTTGTACGCTCCTGACTCCGAAGTTGTTCGAGTAAACGGTAAAAGTAATCAACGATCAATATTGATTATTTATTAAGTTAAGCTTATTACTGGTATTTGTAATCATACATATTAATAAATATTATTAATATTTTTAATCGTGTTAATGAAGAATCTCTACGACTTTGATCTGTACAATCGAACGACGCATTAACTACATCATTAATTTTTCACATCGATCTCCTTTGTTTAGCCGATGAAGTCATTCATCGTTAAAAAAAACAGTCTATAATATGATATTAATCAAATCTCGATTTCTTATGAAACGCCCTATATAATACGCATATCTTTGAATTCTTATCACAGATGAACTAAATTTTTTTAGATCGGACCTAATGCAACAGTTATTGCTATTAACATTAATGCAATTCGAGTATTGACTGAACGGACTCGAAAATTACTCGGAAATTAAATTGGTTGAAGATAAAATCTCGTTGCGATTAAAAATTGAAAATTGTTTGTCACGTAGTAGAACAAATTAAACTTGAAATAAATCTTTAAAAATTCCTTATTGAACAGAAATTAAGTATTGTTGCAATAAGATCTTCTAATCTCTCGGGAAAAATGATAAATATTGTAAAATTTGCTTGAAAGAAAAAAATATCGCAAAATCTGGTTTAAAATTAAAAATACAATTATCATTGTTGTGTTGGCAGATTATAGCGTCGTGGAAGTACTACGCGAGGAGCCAGCCAGAGTTACGATCAGAGGACTTAGAAGATCGTTTTATCCTCCGTCTCATCTGCCTCCAGTCGATAATTCACCGCCTGAGAAGAAGTTGCAACTCGAATGGGTCTATGGTTATCGGGGAACCGATACTCGCAAAAATCTTTGGGTTTTACCCAGTGGCGAATTGTTATATTACGTCGCGGCTGTGGCAATACTTTTTGATCGAGAAGAGAATGCGCAGCGACATTATATCGGACATACAGAAGATATTATGTGCATGGAGGTAACTATCGTTTCATGATGTGGAATCAGAAGTCCCACAAAGGAGAATTGAACCCTTAAATGTATCGTATCGTGTGTGTTTAATCATATACTTAGAATTAAACGGTGTCTATCTAATAAAAAAATAACAGCATAATTCGTTTATAGTTATACATTTATCGATTACTAAAGCAAAAATAGAGTTTTTTTGGTATATTTCACATATTTGTTCTATCGATCACAAATATTTTTCAGGACCGTGCAAAGGATTTTCTGAACAAAAAGATAAGGAGAGGACCCTTTATCTCTTGATGAATTTAATATTAAAGAAATTTAAAAGGAATTTTAAAAAATATAATCGAAACTTTTATATATAATCAGGCAATTATAAAACAAGCAGAATACCATTTATAACTGTACGATACGAATGAAAAATTTTTACATCTCGTATTGAAATTTCGAATTCTCTTAACATCAGAGGTTCTAATGCGATGTACCGCTGCATTCTCCTTTTCAGTTTTTCTTTTATTTTTTATTAAAAATTATTTTATTTAAAATTATTTCCGTTTTAGCATATTTCGCAAAAATTTTCATTATGTGGCTGCAATTTAAGATGGCCGTAGTGTCTTTGGCAGAAATCTTATCATTCGATTATCGATATCGTAAGTGATACTGAGCATTGTTAAGCAATATATTTCGATTTTTCAGGTTCATCCAAGCAGAGAACTCGTCGCGTCTGGTCAAAAGGCGGGAAGACATAGGAAGGCGCAACCGCATGTTCGTATATGGTCAACGGAGACTCTTCTCACTCTGTATGTGTTCGGTATGACCGAATTTCAAATGGGTGTCTCAGCATTAGCGTTTTCACAACTGGTAACTAGTCCAATTTAGTCTAATTAGAAATGATTTTTATTTTTAAGTAATTCATTATTTTTATTTATAAAGAGAAAATAAATTGAGATTGTTATGTTATGTTTCAAGAACTCTTTACAATTAACAGTTAACAATTAATAATTAATTTAATTAACAGAAATTATGTAAGTTTTTATATAATATAGTTAATATTTGATATAGAATGGCGGTAGTTATGTACTTGCCGTGGATTCTGGAAGAGAAGCTATACTTTCGGTGTGGCAATGGCAATGGGGACACTTGTTAGGTAAAGTGGCCGTAAGTTTCTCCATTTCTTCTTTCCTATGCATGCTATTACATACAATACAATGAAAGATATAATTTTCAAACAATAAGATCGAACAATAAGATAGATAGCATTAATCGGCGGATGGGGTCTTAGTATTGAATAATTTTTTTTGTTTCTGGAATTAATTATATATAAATTTAAGTACTTATATCGCGAATCATATGTTATTACAATTAGATATAATTTTATCATGTCTGAATTAATATTTGTCTAGAGTTCATTAATGTATCGATTCCATGCGTTTAACAATATACAAATCAATTTTGACATTATTATAGTTTTTTAGCCACGTACAAAATACCATACTTGGAATATTTTACCATACTTGGAATATTGATTTTTATCTTTCCTTTACCTGTTTTTGTAATTAATATCAATTTGTTCAAAAAAATTATCTTTTACACATATACGCTACATATGTAATTTACATATAATTTAGACTATGCAAGAAGATCTTACGGGTGCGGCATTTCATCCACTGGATGACAATCTCTTGATAACACACGGGCGCGGTCATTTAACCTTCTGGAATCGACGAAAGGATGGTTTCTTTGAGCGAACCGACATTATCAAACCGGTTAGTCAAGTGTTAGGATCGAGTTGTAGTTGTAGTAGTAATTGTTAAACACGCGTTGCATTTGTATAATTTTTATTTCAATTTGTAATCTAATTTTTACTTTAAAAGTACATGAGTTTGATATGTTTTTAGCCGTCCCGTACACACGTGACGAGCATCCAATTTGAACAAGACGGCGACGTCGTCACGGCGGATAGTGATGGCTTCATCACGGTATATTCGGTAGACGCGGATGGGGCATATTTTGTACGAATGGAATTCGAAGCGCACAACAAGGGTATTAGCTCTCTCGTCATGTTATCGGAAGGCACGCTTCTTTCCGGCGGAGAGAAAGATAGGAAAATAGCCGCTTGGGACTCACTGCAGAATTACAAACGTATCACCGACACAAAGGTTTAAACATTTTGAAACGCTTTAATCATGTAACACATTTTTCGATTCATATTCTGATATTGGACAATTTAAACTTTTGTTTTTAATTTTCTTTCTCTAATTTTTACAATTATCACAATTATGCAAGGTATATTCGGTAATAACCGTATGTCCATTTTTTGTGAACAAGTAGAGCGGATTATATTGAATAGAAAAGTCCTATATCATTTTGCGATTTTCGGAATAATTAAAGAGTTATTAACGTGTGTGTAGGGGGGGAGGGTGAGTGAATGAGAGTATTCATGCAAAAGGACAGTCCAATATTACGCGCGCTCATAGTTGATACGCGTGATGCAATATGTTTGGCATGCTATAAACAGGTATCCTATCATTTGTAGATTACATTTAAACATTTTGCCAAACGTTTAACAATCATAAATGTGCGTAGCACTCGTTCTGTTCATTCGTGCGAATGCTCGTTCATTCCCGAATCTATATAAATTAATAACTCTTTAATTATAGTGAAAATCGTAAAATGATAGACTTTTTCATTTAATATAACCATTTTTACTTGCTTGTGAGAAGTGATACCGATTATTACCGGACACCCTGTATAAGCAATTAACTACAAATAAAAGAAATTTGAAAACCATTTATCATATCCATCCATATATTATACCATTCTAATTTCAATTAATTAATTTTTTTACCCTTAAAACTTTTTATCCCTTAAAAGGTTCAAGGATTGTTGAAGCTAATCTTATATTATAGCTGCCAGAATCGGTAGGTGGAGTCCGTAGTATATATCCGCAACGTCCTGGACGGAATGACGGGAATATTTATGTGGGAACTACACGAAACAACATTCTTGAAGGTTCTCTGCAAAGAAGATTCAATCAAGTCGTATTCGGTCATGGTAGACAATTATGGGGTCTGGCGGTTCATCCAGACGATGAGGTATTTGCCACCGCAGGACACGACAAGAACATCGCTTTATGGCGGAGACATAAACTATTGTGGACCACGCAGGTATTTATGAAAATTAATTTTACAATTTGTTAAGCGGTACATTTTAGAGATCTATCTATAGACATTTTTACAACCGTCTAAATTATATTGTTACCACATGTATGTTACATGTATGTTACATGTATGTTGTGTATATATAATTACTTTCATACTTGTATGACTATTTAAAGGACACAAAACTTTAATAATTAAAAAGATTAAAAAAAGAAAGAAACGGAAAAAACGGAATAATGTTATATGTAACATTTCATATTTAAAATATTAAAAAAAAATTACAGATTTAATAATATAAATAAAATGTTAAAAATTTGTAAAAATAAAATGAATAATCAAATGTCCGTTTGTAAAATTCTATTTTGATTTTTTACAAGTCCTTTTCTCAGATTTGCGAAGAATAATTGTAGAACGTGTCATTCTTGAGTTATCTTTGATTTTCGAAGAGAAGAAGGGAAATTCTTAAGTTATCTTCGATTTTCGAAGAGAAGAAGGGAAATGGAGGGCATTTTCAAGTGCTCGTTATATAAGCATATTAAGCGTATTTTTTATATCGCTATATATTTTAGGTGGGTTTCGAATGCATATGCATAGCCTTTCATCCATTCGGCGTAGCGTTAGCGGCAGGATCATCGGAAGGTCATCTTTTGGTACTCGCAGCTGATACCGGTGCAGCCGTAGCAACCTTGAGAGTGTGCGGATCGCCCTTGTCTTGCATCGGATACAATCCCAGTACGACACATAAGTGTTTTACGTATTTCATTTTTTTGTATATTTATTAATAATTTATATTAACATTTTTTGTATATTTAATAACATTTTTTTTATACATCTGTCAATAATTTATATTATTAAACGGTATTAAACGGTTATATTATTAATCTGCTCTGTTATCTCTGTTAAGATTCAAAAGAATCAGAGCATAAATTAAAATGTTTGTAAATGTTTGTAAATTGCTGATTGAAATCTTTGCTGCAGCATGTTTTTATATATCATGTTTTGGAATTCTCTCTTTACCGGCACATTACTATGCAGAGTTGTAATAAACTTAACTCTTTTATATTTCGTAATAACTTCATTTTTTCATTAATTTTTCTAGCTTTTAAACAAAATAATATTTCTGAAGAAATTCACTTGGACAGAAATTTCTCTATCTTACAATTATACAATTAGCTTACCGAGACTAAATTTCTATACGTGTGTTACGTAACGTGCTAATGTTTTAAATTAAATTTGTCAAAACATGGTCTCTATACCGTTTTTTTATTGCCTAATTACATACAGCTGGAGAAATCGTAGCCATGGGTTCCCAAAACGGCAGTGTATACCTCTTTAGAGTGTCCAGAGATGGATTTTCATATAAAAAAAGCAACAAAATCCGTGGTACGCAGCCATTAATGCAGCTCGATTGGAGTTCTGACAGCCGCTTTCTCCAAACTGTCACTCAAGATTACGATCTCCTATTTTGTAAGTCACATTTCTGTAATATTTCATTATTTATTGAGTTTCATCTATTGAGTGATAAACAACTATTTAGATAAAGTTGCATAGCCTGTATAAAATGTAAAAAATGTTTGTCGTATACTTTTTCTATGTATCTATTATTATTCATCAATTTGCCAAAATGCGTTGTACTTTCGAAATGTGTCAATTTCTTCATCTTTCTTTTCTTCTCAAAAATTTTGTAAAAAGTTTTTTATTCTTTTTTAATTTTTTATAAACAATTATATCATCATTTTTAAATTATTGATAATATAATATACAGCGTGTAATTAGTTAACGTAATAAACTGACGTTAAATCAATTGGTAACGTTACATTAGTAAAGATTAAAACAACAATATAACAACAATAATAAACATAACAAAAGACTTAATTATAATATGATTATAATTCTCTTCGTATTAACTTTCGTTTCTAGGGGATGTCAAGGTGTTGTCATCAGAAAAGAGTCCATTGGTCATGAAAGACGTCAAATGGTATACTTACAACTGTACTGTTGGATATATGACTTCTGGTTAGTCTTTCAGTATTCACTATAAAGATAATGGCGTTAAACTGAGAGTTCAGAACAAGATATATAGAAAAAGACTGCTAGGTCTACTCTTAGAGAAATAAAAAAAAATTTAGAATGTAGATTTTTAGAAATAAAAAAAATTGTTAATACAAATAAGATTTTTACGATCGTATTCGCAGGGCAGTGGAACAATCGTTACTATCCATTAACTACGGTTGTAACTACGTCCAGTAGATCAGCAGCACACGATATGTTGGTGAGCGGTGATGCCGAAGGATATCTTCGACTCTTCAGATACCCATGTACCAGCGCCAAAGCTGAATATGTTGAGGAAAAGGTGTATAGTTCGTTGGTAGCCTGCGCCAGGTTCCTCTACAATGACCAAAATGTCGTCACTGTCGGCGGCACTGATGCTGCCTTGATGCTCTGGGAATTGGTCGACGAATAAAATGATAGAATCGCTAGAACAGCATACTTATTCTCCAAATATTTGTAGCGATAAATATGAGGCGCTGGCGTCTCTTGATATAAATTTTAAATGATATAAATTGATATAAATTAAATGATATGATATGATATAAATTAAACAGAGAGTGGAATTTGTCTTTTGATGAAGTTAACATAGAAATGTCCATTGAATAATATAAAAGAAGTGTAAATATACAGGATAATCATGAATCATTTGCACTAATTTAATTAAACAATTTAATTAATTTAATTTAACACTATTTAATTTAACACTAGCTCTTATTTTGTATCCCGAGATATTGTACGTATTTTAACGCAATGAAGATGTGTAGCATCATTATGATGTTATTTATTTGATTTACATTCTGATTCACTTCACATTTATTGCGTCAACATGTAAAATATTTTAGTTTATATGAAACTTCAAGGATGGATTTAATACTGAAAGATAATAAAAAAGATTCATATAAATGTATATATATTTTAATGAACTCATTTACATTACTTTTTACATTATGCTTTTTTATGGCACATACATTCTTGTGCAAGATACTTTGTAATTATTAATAAATACCATTTGTACTTTCTCAATCCAATCGATGAGTAATCGAGAAGTAAAATATATTTAGGAATATATATATATATATATGTACGAATATTTGATGTTATTTGATGTTATTAATATCGAATTTATTGTGTTATACAATATATCAGCTTCTAAAATACTAATCAGCATTTATTTTTTTTTTAGAATTACTTCATTTCTCTCATAATAAATATCCAATCATGATAAATATTCAATCTATATTTTTTATAAAATTTGTGAAATCATTGATAATTACTGCAAATAAGAAACAAAACCATATATGTTAAAAATTTATATAAATTATATTACAATTGCTTTCAGTTCTAAATCCATCCGTATATACGTAAAATGTAACGATATTACGAGGTAAACGGATTCGATATTTATATGCTCTAAGAAACCTCATAGAAAGCAGTCGATATAAAAATATAATAAAAGATTAACGTGTGCATTAGGAGCGCTCGCTGACATTTCAGCTTTGCTAAAAAAAATAGATTTAAATTATCATTATTCGTTACAAATCGAAACGCACTCACCGTAGAATTGTTCTTTTTAGCTCCACTATATCTATACTCGAATTGAGTTAAGTGTATAATAAATATAATCAGATGGAGAAGAAGTTAACTGAGTTAACTTATGGTTAACTGAGTCATGCTAAAGAGGCCGACGTTAAATGTTAATTTCTTTATTGATTCAATTCACGAATTGTTGTAATTGTCAAAAAATAATCCATTTAAAGAAGATTTGAACAATTGTAGGATAAACTTGCATCGTCAAATTTATCAAGTGAATCGTCACTTAACAAATGGAATTGTTTTCATCTCTATACATTTTTTGATCTCTATACACGTTCATATTGATCATGTATAGACATTTTTTATTAAAAACTTCCACTGTACACACACACACACACACACACACACACACAACAAA